TCCCTTGCCTTTTCACCCTGCAGAAGCTGCCGGCATGCCTTCTCCTGGCCCCTTCCTCCTCTTCCTCCTGTCACTCCAACCAACGGCTTCCACCGTCACATCTCCTACCACTGACTGGTCCCCACGTCTCCCTCGTATAAAACCCTGTGGTGACAATGGGCCCACCTGGACAGTCCTACTGTCTCAAGAGCCTTGACTTACTCACATCTGCAAAGCTCCTTCTACCAAGAAGGTAACACATTCACAGGTTCCAGGGAGTAGGACACAGACCTCTCTGGGAGGCTACTAGCTGCCAGCTGGCCCTACCCGGCCCTCGCGCGCCCGCTCTCCACCCCCAGCAGCACTGGCCTCCCTTGCAGGGCGGAACGCCAGGCTCCTCCCATCCAAGGCCTCTGCGCACGTTCCTCCCTCCCCCACGCCCCACACTGCCGAGGTAACACCCGAACGTCGCCTCTGGTAATAACGTGCTGGGCTGTTCAGATCAATCTCCCTCCAAGGGCCACTAAGATGCGAGATGAAACACACAAGCATCTCCTTAAAAACAACAAAGGGCTGACGAGACAACGAGACACCAGGCCGAAGCTTGCGATGAGGCAAGACCACCGAGAGGAAGGCAAAGAACTCGAGGCTGATTTTGCCACAAGGTGAAAGATAAATGAGAAATGAACCAGAATACAGCACAATGACCAAGAAAATGAAAAATACAAAACCAAATGAGACACAGGTAACTGCTCAGAATTTGCCAGAACTAAGGAAAACATACCAATTGATATTGTCAAGAAGCCCAAATAAATCAAAAGAAGGATAAGGATTATTATACTTTTATGTGTGGACTGCATTTCATAATTTTTTAAAAGGCTAAAAAAGAAAAGAATAGTGTCACTTAAACCACACTCTTGCCCCTCAATCGGAGTGTGCGCACAAGGACGAGAGGACAGGAGGCGGAGCTTCTCGGCTCAGGTGGCAGAAGTTTGCTATGGATAACCTCTTATAAGGCAAAAAAATCAAAAGGCAACTGCTATCGTATGAATAGGGCTTGATACTAATAAGATAATTAGCTCAGGAAAAGAAACTTCATACTCAGAAAGTAACTTAACCCTAGGGGAGGCAGGATTTAAGAAAGAACTTTTACTTTTTATTTTGTACATTTCTGCATTATTTAAAATTCCATTTGAATATGTTTATTGTAAAAAAAAAAGGCTCCTATAAGTTTTTAAATAAAAATTTTCAGTAGCTTTAAGTTATGGTAAAGTAAGAGACCATTACTAGTCTTCCAAAGAACAGACTACTTAGGAACTATATTTAAGATAGAAAAAATTAAAAATGAACATTTTACAACTTAACATATACTCATCCTAAAAAAAATCCTGAATTAACAAGCAGTGTGGATTCCTTACTTTGACCAAAATACTTTATTTCTCAAGACTTTTAGGAACTTAATGTTTTAACATGTGAACCACTCACGCATCACATTTGAGACATTTAAAGCTACCTGTTTACCTGGCCCACTAGTTGCTTGATCACCACCATACAAATCAAATTCTTGTGCTTCAAGTTGTCTGTATTTGTTAATATACTCCATTTCTGAGGTCCTTTGGCTGAGTGATCTGAAAAGATTAGTAAAAGTTAGTACACTATTTCCAAAAAACCAAGAAACTTCTATGTGCTAGAGGAGTTCCTGAATCATTATTTTACATTAAGCCATGGAAAAAATGTGAATAGTCAATAAACAAATGAAAATAGGCTCAAACTCACAGTTACCAGGTAGACACAAATTAAAACAATGAGAAAGTATTTTTTCACCCATCGAATTGGCAAAAAGAGAAAATATTCTCAGAATGTTTATAAGGGAAAGGGTGGTAAGTGGGCGTGACCATTTACTCTAACAGACAATCTGCCACATCCATTAAAATTTAAAACACACATTCCTACAATCAGACATTTTCTTTCCTCAGAATCTTCCCGAGAGTGACTATAAACAAAGCAGCACACGCAAAGATGTGCATGAAAGCATTCATTCACTCAGCAAGGATCTGCTGAACACCTACCACACGGGAGGCAGGAGGCCCTGTGACAGACACTAGAGACAGAGCAGGAAACAAAGTCCTTGCCCCCAGGGAACTGCCACACTAGTGAAGGAGAAGTACTAGTTACATAAGGTTCTCATTAGTGATGCAGAGAAAAATAACATTGGGTACCTTTTCATAATACCTGTAGTAATTAAAACCTGAAAAAATGAACAACAGAGGGACAAGCTAAAACTATGGCATACCCTTGATGTATCATTCTTAAAGAATGCCACAGCCAGGTGCGGTGGCTCATGCCTGGAATGCTAGCACTTTGGGAGGCCAAGGTGGGAGCAATGCT